TATGAATCTCAAAGATAATGTGGCAAGATGCAATCACTCTCCATGTTTAGGGAATACTAAATTTACGAGACTTACAGTCAGGACTGTAATGAATATTCTTCAAAATGTGTTTGGTTGAAGTTTGTTGTGAAGTAAAGAATTTAAAGGCACAAAACATGTGCAACCAAATACACTCAATCAAGAGTAATTCATGGAGATTCTGTAAAGTTCATAATAAGGGGTGGTTCCTAAAAAGCACTAATGTAGGGAGGCGATCAATAAGCTCGCTGCTGTCAGGAAACGCCTATCTGTTTCGGTGGTTTTTGAATTGCTCTTGAAAATCTAAAAGAGTCTTAGCAAGGTTTATCTGAAGTCAAAACGCAAAGGGACCCCAATTCATCCATCAAATGAGATTAGACTTGATCTCTATAGGTCAATATTATAGCTTAGATGAAAATTCCTGAATTTTGGATCAACCTTGGATCTGATTTTGCCTTGAAATCTTATCCACTGTCAACATCAATGAGGGGGCTCAATCCAATAGTTCGTTTAGCAATAAGCTCTAAACTTGAACCAATAGATTAAAAAGATCGAAATATGCAAAATTGACTAACTTACACAAAATTGGGGGAATTTAGGTGTGGCACCAATAGGCGATAAGATGAGAGAAAGTAGACTTAGGTGGGCTGGCCATGTGTGGCACTGACCAAGTACAGCACCTGTTAGGAGGTTCGAGTTAGTTCAAGTGGAAGGACTGAAAAGGGCAAGGGATAGGCCCAAAAGGACGTGGTTGGAAGTAGTCCGAAAAGATATGGGGGCTTATGGCCTTACTGAGGATATGACCTTTAATAGAGTAAAATGACGGACCAAGATTCATGTAACTAACCCCAATTAATTGGAAAAAAGCTATGATGATGATGATGATTGCTTACACAGTAATTTTAAGCTGAAATTTCTTATCTACAATCAATAGACGTGGGCCTCCCATCATAAACTATTTGTCAGTATCTCCGCCTCTTCCTTTATGCAAGAATGCGAAAATCTCCTTAATCTTAGCCATCACAGGGATAAAAGTGTCCCTCGATGGTCTCCCCCTTCAAAGGGCCATATAAAGCTCAACTTCAATGGATGCTCCTTGGGAAACCCTGGTCCAACATCGGGGGAGTGTAGAAGTCCTTCTCACCTACTCAGAATATATAGAAATAGAGGACTCGCAAATAGCAGAAGCCAAGGCCCTGCTAACTGGAATCAAGGATTTTAATCATTCTTGGGGTAGTAGAATCTTACAGATTGAAAGAGACGCCAAAAACATCATTAAGTCGGGTTCTGGGAAAAGCAATCCACCTTGGTATACAGGTCATATTTTTTATGAGATCAATCACTTATGCAGGGACTTGGTAGTGACTTGGAAGCACACTCGGAGGACCGCAAACGCAACCATAGACGCACTCGCTAAAGCAGCTGCTCGACAACATATATAACTGGATGATAATTAGATAGTCTGTGTAAAAGCGCAAATTTATAAGCCCCTACCCAGTTTTCTTTTGTTCACTTTTGCATAGTATGTGTAAAAGGAAAAATCTATAAGCCCCTACTCTGCTATCCTTTTGTCCGCTTTTGTAACTGGGCATATTTATAAGCCCCCTCTCATTCTTCTCTTCTAGTCCTCCACTCAAGGACCACAAAACTGCTGAGGTCCATGCCTGGTGAACCTCATGGTACCAACAGTATCAATGTAACTCATTTTTATTTAATGTTAAGTTAACTTCCATCAAAAAAAAAATAGACGTAGGTGGCTTACACAGGATTTTTATCTTTTAAATTTGAGGCAATGAACTGAGAAATTGATAGAAATGTGATCATAATGATCAAATGATCAAATGCATATTAAGATTTAAAGTTAATGCTAAAATACTGCTTATTTGAATAAAAATCAAAGGCTCCAAGGCTCGTATCTGTTTATCTGAGGTCAAAACTAATACCTCTCTTATACTCCAAATTTGAGATCGTTTTTTGATAAAATTCAACGCAAATATACCCCGAGCCACCTGATTATAACATGCACAATGGCAACAGTTTCACACATTCTATTCGAGCAAAAAGCTCACAAATATACATCAAACCATGTAAATAAAATACGGAGTTATGAACTTTGTCCTCATTCGAGGTCAAAAATCACAAAGGGACATCTTTGTCATAAAACTTTGATTATAGGCATGAACATCACATATAGATGTGTCCTTAAGCAATTGTCATATTTCAGACAGTTTTGACAAGTATTGGTATGGGATTAACCCATTTGAAAATGGGTGGTTAGGCAACACGCCCCTTACCCATAACTGTCCGCAACTGCTCCCTTATTTGTGAAATTTGAAATCTCATCAAAAAATTGATGAATATTAGCAAATTCAGATGGTGAGACAATCCTAAAGAGAGAATGCACAGAGACAAAAGAGAACATTTTTAAGAAAGTCAGAGAACCACAGAGAGTACGATCATATACAGAATACTGAACAAGGACCAAAAGTGAGATTTCTAAGAGATTGTCAAGAACACATACCAAACACAAAGCAAGGTAGGGCACTATAATGCGCACTTTTTCTTCATGTTTCCCTCATGCATTAATTCTAAATCCGTGCTGATTGATTAAACAGAGATTCTCTTTCACAAAAGTTGGAATCAAATGTATTGGCATCTATGAGCGCCCTCAGACTGATATCCCAAGAAATCCAAAAGGGTTATTTGTGGGTCATTTGATTTGTCTTTTTTTGGTCTAATTTTCTTAAAGTCTAAATGCATGTTTCAAGTCAACATTCTTCCCACAGAAAGGTAGGAATATAAGAATCAAACATCATAGATAACGCAATCTCCAGAATATGTTGATACCCTTTGTTAAGCAATCCCATCGTGTTGTGGGGTGTATGTACTTGAAACATGTAACAGGATTCCATTATCATTCTGGTAACCTTGAAAACCATGTGAAGTATACTCTCCCTCATGATTTGATCTCAAAACTTTAATGTGTTTCCCAAAATAATTTCTAACACTGGGTTGAAATAGTTTAAAGAATTTCAAAACTTCATAGTTAAAAAATAAATCTAAGTATATCTACTGCAGTGATCAATAAGAGAGACCATTATTATGGTATTTATACATAAGAATCCACAGGTGAAGTCCCCAAACATCCGAATATTAAGTCAAAAGGTTCATAAGTAATATTTTCGTCAGAACCATCACAAAGAAGGGCGATCATGCACACTTTCCCAATTGACAACTTGTACATAATGAAGTAAACCAAGTAAAACTATCAAATTAAGAAATCATTTCCAAGTCTCCGAAGGGTCTTCAAACTAGGATGCCCAAGTCAATGATGCCAAAATTCCATAGAAGACTAGTAGCCATTGTAGAGCAAAGACATGATGATCCTCAAAAAGATAAAACCCATTTGCGCACCCCTTTGGAATCAGCTTCCCCTTCTCTTGGTACTTAACAACAAAAAATATAGAAAGAATACAAATTTTCATTTGAAGTTACATTTAAGTTGACATACCAACATTAACTTCTTGATTTTGAGAACCACAAGAACATCCGGTATTTGAATCTTTCCCAAAGCAGTTTTTATGAGGGTCGTGCCAATATGAGATATTGGAAGTGATGACCTGTCACCACCTATGACAGAGCACCTACCTTTGTAGGGAATTAGAATATGGTAAGAAAATGTGTTGTTGCGAACATGGCTACCAGTCATAATCAATGGTCCACAAAGTACCACCAGAGGTACTTGCAAAGGAATCAAGAGTGAAGGCATTTCCATAATGAGCCAGGCTGCACATTTCAGTTCATGGGGGCTATAGAGCAGTATTAAATTTATGGTACCATGCACGAGCTTAATGACATCTTTTACTACAAATTTGGATATCATAATGGAATTGGGCTTCGGTTGAGTCCAATGCTGTGGAGACCTTTACCTCTTCCTCGTCTAAGACATCCACTTCCATGACAATCATGCATGCTCTGTTGTCCACATCCATAAGGAAGATGCTCTTAGCACTCTTACTGTGCAGGTAGACTCTGATTGTTTTCTGAATTTGGGATGTTGATAAACAAGCTCTCATAATTCAGCAAGATAGGGTGTAAATCTCCAAAGGATGAGTAAGGAAGTTGCAACATAAGAGACGTTTGCATTCCTCTCCATGGCCATTTAAAATGAATAGAGTTTTATCTTCATTAGGTACAATTTTATGTATAACAGCATGATCATTACAAATAGTCTTGAAAGAGCTCAATATAGATGAAGACCCACACTTACAATTTTGTATGTCCACTCGGAGTTGCATATCTCTGGCCTTTGATTTTTCAGCAAATAATTTTTCCACTACAACGCAGATGTCAAGAGCAATTGGGAGATCATTGACATCTGTATGTATGTATAGGGCTATGGAAGCCGATAGCCAACTAACCATAAGCTGATCTTGGCTTGTCCTTGTGTCATATTCAGGGATCTAATCTGAAGTGCTTCTTAAGTTTGCTCAATTGTTGATTTTTTCAGAGATATAGAGTACAAGCCCAAGAGCCATCAATAATGCAACCATATTTTGGCTTGGCATAACTTGAAGAAACTGATTTTGGTCTACTTCAATGGATAAAAGAACAAACACATTTGATGATGCCACGAAACAAAAAGGAAAGAGGGCAAAGTTAATACCAGGGTTTTGGCAAGTAGTCAGTGATGAGTGTACAGGGCAAGCTCAAAGTATACAACTCTTAAATCTTTTTTAATACAACACTTATGCACAATTTGAACAACAAATGCTCTTACAAAATTACGGCCGCTCAATCACTTTTAAAAACACTTTAAGGGCTTCACATACACTCCAAAAACAAACTTGCATGACCTCACATCAGTCCCCTAAACAATCCCTCTCCTAAACACTCTTGGAGATTTATAAATCACTTGACTATATCACATAAATACAAAATTGTATAACTTTCTCAGGAATACATTCAAACACTTGACTTACAAATACGATTCGATTCAATCTCCAAGTTACAAGACCAAATGCAAACACTTCAGCCTTTGATCATGGGAAGCCAAAACATAGAGCTCGTCGTGCCAGGTTTATAGCCAAGGACTTAGTTACACTCCATGAGATAGCCACTTCTGAATTTCCCTGTCACATAATTTTTCCAAAAATTGAATTTTAAATACATAATTTAACAAAAAAAAATTGCCCACGGTTTTGTTAGCAAATGTGGAAGACAGATATGGTAGGAGGGGCATGCCTCTTAGTCCAAAATATTTTCTCACTCTAATTCTCAAGTTATTTGGTCAATATACTCTCTCTTAAAACTAATTTGCACGTGGTTCCAATGGAAGAGTGGCACGTGGGACACAAGTGGTTATGCACATTTGCACTTGTCCTTAGGGTTACAACCAAATATCAAACGTTGTGCCCCTTCTAGATAAACATTTGCACTCGTCCTTAGGGTTTCAACCAAATATCACACATGTACCTGTGCACACACATGTACAAATTAACACCACACTAAATTTCTAACTTAAAGCACATAATACAATAATACACATATCACCAACAAGTGCACAACCAAACACCATCTTAACACAACCTCCCCATGTTTACGACACACATACCATCATTGATCCAAAAGGCAGACCGCCCAGCGCCTAAACGATCCAGAGGGCTTGGGCGCCTTGCCTAGGCCTAGGTGATCTACCTCTGAGCGGCTGCCTAGGTGATACGGCACTTGCCTAGGCAAGCGCCCAACGCCTAGCCCTGGGCGGCCGCTTAGGCGCGGAAATGCCCCTTTTTTAGGGGAATTTTTGGATTTTTATGGGGGGGAGGGGGGGAAGGGTTGAAAGGTAGATTTTAGGTTCATTTGAAACTTAAACCCATTATAGCCCATTTTATTCCTGAAGCTATCAGATAGAAGATTAAGCAATATATGAGTTCTATAAAACACAAATAGGAACAAAATCCTTGTCATTTGAATAGGTTTATTTCTAGTTCTGCTAGAAGAAGTGATTCGGGTTGGAAGCATGGTTATAACCCGAAACCAAACGATAAAAAATGTATAAGGTGTAATTTTTGTGAAAAGGATACTAATGGGGGTATTAACTGATTCAAGAAAGATCTAGCCGGTATTTAAGGAAACGTTGCTTCTTGTAAAAAGGTTCTTGAAGCTATTAGGGACGAGATATGATAATATTTGAATTTAGTAAATCCAGAAAAGGAAGAAAATGAGATTTGTCATATGGAAATATCTCCTCCAGGTTCTTTTAGAAGTGGTGATCTAGGTTGGAAGTATGGTCATAACCTGAATCTGAATGACAAAAATTATATAAGGTAAAATTATTGTGGAAGGATACTACTGGGGGTACTAACCGGTTCAACAAACACCTTGCCGATATTAAGGGGGATGTTGCTCCATATAAAAATGTTATTGAGGCTACCAAGGAGGAGATTAAACAATATATGAGTTCAATGAAACACAAAAAGCAAGAAAAGGGTGAAGAGGCACCAGGTGCAGCCAAGACTCCTAGGGCCTCATCTGCACACAGTAAGAGGGGGTAGAAGAAGAGGTGGAAGAGGCAGATTTAGAAGAAACAGAGGACGAGCGTAATGTTGAAGAGGGAGATGACTCTCATGATGATGGCCTCGAATTCGATGCATATGATAAGGCTTACCCTACTCCTTCTGATGATGATGACGACGACTGAAGATGCTTGACTCTTGGTGTTGAGTCTTCAACTGTATATTGTTTTTTCTTATTTTCTAATTTCTACTATCTACTCTTGTGTGTATGCTTGTATGGTTGTATCATTGTATGAAAATATGCATTATGGACTATCTATTATCTACTCTTTTTATTATCTATTCCTATTTTCTTATTTTTCTTATGGTTTTAGGCCACCCAGAACAATGCCAAGGTTCTGGGCAGTCTAGGCGCTAGGCAGCCAATGTGACATGAAGTCCACACAGTGCCATGTGGACAAGCCATGTGGGGCCCATTGGTCACTTAGGCCCCACATGGGCCAAGCATGGGTTTGTCCTTAACTGGAATTTCTTTCAAACAATTTTTTAAAACTCATTTCTTGCTCTAGAAAAATTCTCTAAAATGATCCAAAATCCCAAAATTCATTTTTAAGCTCATTTTAACATTTTGATATATGATTTGAAACCTCATAAAAATATTTGAAGGGAAATTAGAATCCTTAAGAAAATGAAACTTAAATAGTCGGGCACTCCACTCGATTAGTCCTAGAACTCTATGTCATTTTCTCAAATTAACCTCACAAGACCCATGACCCACTATCACTAATAGGGGCTCATGCTTGGCTCATAAAAGTCAACCTAATATATGGTCGGGTTCTAGAATTGTAGTGGATTGCAAGTCCGCAAGGACATGCACTCTTGTGGATGTAGGATTCTATGAAAGAGTGGCTTCCCATTCGCAACTGCATATACACATGCTATGAGATGGCTCAAGGCCAGGGATTTGGCTCATGTCCTCTCAAAACCTAGCCTTCTCACATGCTCACAGTAATTCTCATAGTAATACTAAAGATGTAATAATTCTCTAATCCATAATCATACATACATAGAAATACTCAAAACATGTCCTCGCTTTCACAATATGTGGAAATCTTTTGCCGGCCATGACTAGGGATAACCCTCAATTCTTTCCGCTCAATACCCCTTACACACTCAATCCTCATGATCTGGGGTTTTGTAACTCTATAAACACAAATTTTGGATGCAAGTTTGCAAAGATATTACGAGTCAATAGTGTTCTTGTTCACTCCCATTCTGAAAAAGAACCATAAACGAGCGTGTCAAGGTTTTAGGGAAGAATAGGAAAAATTTCTTATGTTTCATTTCCTTACTTTGAGGATACATAAACGAGCCCCATTATGGATATTGTACAATATTACACCTAGAACAAGTAATAAAATGTCAATAATAGTTAAAAAGTTGGCTGCCTAGCCAGCCAGGGGCCCAAAACGCCTAGGTGTGACCTCAACAAGCAGCCTAGTAGATCTTGCTCCTAGGTGCCAAAGGCACCGACTAGGCAGTCACCTCAACGCAGCTGCCTTGGCAGTGACTCGAAGCAACTTGGCCGAGAGCAGAAAAGGCCCCTAATCAAGGGGCAAAAAGTACTCCCCCCCTAAAAATGGGGGGAAAGGGTCCCTTTTTTTTTAGGTGGAGTGTGTGCGTGTGTGGGTGGGTGTGTATGTGTGGGTGTTGGGGGAGGGGAAGCACAAGCCCCCTTAGGAAAATAGTTAACAACTATCAAAATTGTTAAGGGCTTAGGGCCCTTCTCTCTCGCTCACAACCCAATATGCTCTCTCTACATATGAGAAGAAGAAGAAAAAGAAGTTGGTCCCAAAATGTTCGATGAGAGGCCTCTCTCTCTCACACACACAATCACATAAAAAGACACACATATGGACCCATATGCTCTCACTCTACGTACAAGAAGAAAAAAAAGACGAAGATGACCTCCAAGTATTCGATGTGAGCCCTCCTCTCTCTCATGGATTCATATTCTCTCTTTACATATAAAAAGAACTAAAAGAACATGAATGCTCTCCCTCTCTTACACAAGCACGGATGCACGCACACACACACACAAATGCGCACCCCCACCAAAAAATAAAAATAAAAAAAAGAAAGAAAAAAGCAGAAACACCTTATAGCACCCATGTATCTGGTTGCCAGCCAAGGCAGCTAGGACCCTAGAAGCCTAGCACTTGCCTCCATTTTTCTGAAAATTGCGTCAAATAATAGTATGCACAATACATACAACAAATGCATGTTAAGTATAACCTAAAAACAATGACTTCCATGTTTTAGTTTTGAAAACCTCATAAGTGACTAGAAGGCAGCTTTCCTCCCCTTGAAGGGACCATCAAACCAAGCCCAAGAATGTCTAAGTAGATTTCATCTCTTTGAAGCTCAAATTACACCGGTGGTGTTCCTAGAGATGAAAATGGGTAAAGCGACAAGAATATGTTTTTGTTCTCTTTGAAACGCACCATCAAGCCAAGCCAAGATGGTATGATTTGCATTTGTGTCTTTTAGAGTTCAACTGTGGCAGTTGAAGTTGTCAAACAAATAAAGGGATGAATGATATTCTCATATGCTTTCATTATCTGGCCCATTGTATGCCCACACTGATCCTCCTGGGAAGCAAGAGCTCTCCACAAGGGTCTCTTTGCATGTGGATGTCATGGTAGAACGGCTATAATGTTATAAAGTTATTGATGAAAGAGACACATCCTAGGTGGAATGATCTTTTAATAATCTTTATAACATTTGTTTATTTAATCATGCATTCTTCCAGCATGTAATAATGGAAGCTAGTGAAGTCATGAATACACTGGCCTAGACAATAGCCTTTGGAAAGATGGCTCAGTCACTAAGATCTTGCCTACCTATCTCCTTGACATGCCTTTGTTGGTGTACGTCTCGTGATGATCCCGTAATAAGGTTCAGTAATAGATCGAGAGAAAACCAAAATTTTCAAGGAGGCGAACACCAGATAATCCAATTTATTTGCCTTCATTTTATCTAGTCTCCATGCATTTTGTAGAATTTCGTGGACAAGCATCCCACATAAAGAGCATCAATGCCCTCACAAAATGAATGCAAATTATTTTGGGAAGTATTCACAAAGAATGACATTACCCTTAAGTTCACCTTATAGCTGACAAATTTGCATTAACACTCATAATTAAAAAAAAAAAACACTATTATTGCTTTGATAAGTATTCAAAAAAAAAAAAACTGATATTTCCCTTGGTGATCTCTAAAAATATTTTTCACACCCATAGAAGCAGGAGATCAAAATTATCTATCCATTCAATTTCATTTTTCTGAATGAATTGCCAATATCAGTATCACCTCGCACCTAAAAAAACCAGAAAACCAGAGACTGAGGCTCATATATTTCCATACTAAATGCAAGAAAAATTCAAATCAACCAACACAAACCAAAAAAAGCAATACAATAAATCCGAAGGTGTCTCTTCACAAGAAGGAAAGTTATGCTTCTATTTCCTAATCGGGATTTCACTATGTTCAACTGAAACACAGAGACGAGAAAGGAGGGTTTGGGGGGAACAAGAGAGCCAAGGTCAAGTTTAGAGAGAGAGAGAGTACCTGAAGCTGGTTTTTGGTTGGAGGCGAGCAGGGGCTGGGCATGGCGGAGGAGGCGGTGCTCCGTGCTACTGTTTTACATTTGTCATGGTACATGTACCATAGTGTTCGATGGTAGATTCTTGTATCGACCACCGTTTAAAAACAAGTCCGGTTTTAGATCGCTCTCACCCACGGTATCGATGCGAATCTGCCATTTGTCCGTTATTGTCGGCTGCATATTCAAAATTGAAAAGAAATTATAGAAAAATAAGGGAGGGCACGTTTGGTTATTGGGAGAATATTTTTTAGAAAATATTTTCACACCAAAAAATTCGATCTTAGTGCACATTTTCATACCAATTGACAACAAATTGATGTAAAAATATTGCCACCGCATATGAGCATTTTTCATGTAAAATGTTTTCTAAAAAACGTTTTCGCGCGAACCAAATGTGTTATTTGTAAAAATCTCTTTTTTATAGTTGTATTTAAAAAATATTTTATATATTTTAAATGGGAAATGTTCTTGGGAGACCCTCCCACACCCATAGATATAGGATCTCAAAGGATCACCATTAAATTTGGTACAGATCTTTAGAAAAGTCAAGTCTCACTCTCAAGTGATAACTTTTTTAAAGATCTGTGCCAAATTTAATAGTGATCCTTTAATGTCCTATACACATGAGTGTGAGAGGGTCTCATATGATCATTACTCATTTAAATTAGAAAGTTTATATAAAATTGTAATTTTAAAATATAGAATTAAGATGCATTATAAAAATCTATCATAAAAAGTTGTTTTTTATATTGGAAAATCCTCAAATTGATCATCCCAATATCGAGATATATGCCCTATGAAAAGAAAAAAAGATTTCGAGTCCAAAAAATAATGTATCTTGCAACACATAATCTGGACGGTCCATTTTTCAAGATTTTTTTGTATTTATAAACCTACTTGATTTGAATTATTTTTGAAATTTAATATTTTATAATTAAAGATGAAAATAGATTTTCAAGCCACTCTAATAATTTTTTGAGGAAATATATAATAAAACCATTTACCTTTGATACAAGATGGTCACAATTAATCTTGATCATTTGATGTGGAATTGGGTGGCTGCATTTATTTCATTGACCAAGCTCAAAGTTCAAAAGAAAATTTTTCGAACTTTATGACACATCCAAGCTATCAAATTTTACATCAAATAGTTGTGAGTAATTGTAACCTCTCTATATTAAAGGTAAATAATCTTATTGTATACAATTCCTAAAGTTTTTCACCAAATTTGAATTTATAATAAAATTTGGAGGTTCTCTTTAATGTGATTTTTGCTTGTGCATTTACGCTTGTGCATTTTATTTTTTTTGGTAAGACGTTAAAAACTTTATTAATGGTAATGGATTTACACCATCGAAAACCTCTAGCAAAGGTAAGGAAGCACCCCTCTTAGCAAGGCAATTAACATCAATAAAAGATTGTCTTTTTTTTCCTCCCTAAATTACCCCAAGTGTAGAATTCCAAGTACCTAATGGCGTTTTTTCTTTATTTCTTGAATCAAGTTTTTAGGTTGGGACTCCAAGTTTTTATATGAATTTTTCGTAAACAATTATGTCCCAAGTTAAAGATTTTATCTATTCATTCAAGAAACAAGTTTCTAAAATCGGATAGAAACTTCATGTTGAAGTAAGCATTTTATAAAAACATTGATGTAAAAAAATGGATCATAGGTTCAAGAATCGCCCAGGAAAAATACAAAAGTTTTTTGAAGACCAAATCAAAACTTCACGTTCCAATCCCATTATTTTATAAAAAAATTCGGGTATTAGGGTAAAAATCTGAGTATAAGTTGGAGACAACCCATTCATTCCCAAAAAAAGATTCGGCTTCGTGTCCTGTCCCAGTCTTTTTACGAAAAAATTTTGCGTCGGAACTATAAATGCTCCAAAAACTACATAGAAAAGGAAATCCCCAAGTCGGAAGAGTCGCAATCTTGGGGCGTTAACACAAGGAAGTTCTCTAATACAAGTTCCTGACTTAGCCATAGAAAAAAAAAAATCTTTTTAAATAATTAATAACAAAAACTTTCCAATACGTTCCATTGTAGCACTTTATGTGCATCAAACATGGGATTTGCTATAGAGTTAGGGACTTATTTGTTCCGAAGAATAAATTCCCCCAAACAAACGCACCCTAAATGTTCGAACATTAGACCTTTTGTGAACTTGAGATTACGGTTGGAAGGAATTGGCGGTGAGATGTGGCGTTCATTAGGAAGTTGATGTTCCTTGCAAACACCAGACGACACGGCCCAAATACTTGTCTGTACATGTACATGCAGTGTGACATCAGTATTTTTTAATATAGTACCGATACTCTAATAGAAGTATCTTGTATAATAACATGCATCCTATTATCAAAAGACATGGCCCAAATACTTGTTTGTGCATACAATGTGAGATCATTATTTTTTCATATAGTATCGATACTCTAATAGAAATATCTTGTATAATAACATGCATTCTATTATCGTAAAACGACGACACTGCCCAAATACTTATCTGTGCATACAGTGTGATCAGTATTTTTTAGTATAGCATCGATGCCCTAATGAGAAGTATCTTATATAATAACATGCATTTGATTATCATAAAATGTTTGAAGTTCTAATAGCTTGCAAGCTTCCATTTTCATCCTCATTTTTTTCAATAATAAGCAGTATGCTCCTAATGGGAATCGAGAACCTTCCAAGAAATAGAATTTTCGTCAATTGTGAAAACATGCTAATGCACCTTGTATAATTTACATGCATTCTAGTATAACAAAATGTCCAAAATCCTGTTAGCTTGGAAGCTTCGTTTTTCTTTTTTCCTTTACCCTCCATTTTCAATAATAAAAAGTTAAACATGCTTCTGGGATGAATAGACCCTTCCAAGAAATACAACTTCTATCAGTTGTGAAAACATGCTAACGAGGGGATCTCTACCGCCTATCCATCTACTTACTTCATGTTATAAACTATTTTACACATTATAAAAATAAATAAAAAAACACCTTTTATTTATGCAAAATAAATATAAGATTATGTCTAACAGTATTAGCTTCTCAGGCTTACATATTAGATACATTCGACACTTACAGGCACAAACACAATGATCACTTGTATCCAATCTAGAGCATCCTATACCTAAATTGTATAAAAAATTTAAGAAAGAAAATCTGTAATTGATTTACGACTGGTAGACAAGAGGATCCACATCTACATTAAGATGAATGAAAGCCAAAAGAAGGCACAACCTTTCTCTTCTCTCTTGTAATGACTACAATCTCTCTATAAAATTTTATGGTATCAAAATTGTCCCTTTCTCTCTCTCTAAATCTTAAGCAACCATTTCTTTTTGTCATCAACTTCTATAGACATTCCAAACATCAACTTCTATAGACATTCCAAAAGGGACAAGTTTATATAAGGTTGCAACCTTATACTGTAGAAGTAAAGGGACAAGTTTATATAAGGTTGCAACCTTATACTGTAGAAGTAAGGTGCATCTAATAACTTACTAGGAATGAGTGTGCCAAAGTTCGGAAACCTATAATTAATCATCTTAACCCAGGATGTATAGACAGAGAAAAATAATAATTTTAGGTCGTAAAAATACTACATCTTGTAAGAAGTTAATTGGACCATTTATTTTCCAGATTTTCAAGTACCTATAGATCTGCCCAAAATGCATTATTTTTAGAATTTCAAATATCATAATTAGAGTTGGACATGGATTTTAAAGCCATTAGGACGTTTATGACACCAGAACTACATGTTCGAGCAAAATTTGGAGATGCACCTTACTTGTGTAGTCTAAGGTGGGCAACTTATACAAACCTCACCAAAAAATGCCATCGCTATTACAGCCACAGATTAGTTCGGCCACCCGCAAGGACAGCCTACCTGGAGTGGCTCTCTCTAACAAGCAGCATCTCTCTCTACAATCACTAAATGGAGCATCTCTCTCTCTCTCTCTCTCTCTCTCTCTTCCCCACAAAAGTGACATTAACTCTCTTTCCCCAAAAGAGCTCTTTAAATCCATTGAATTCCTTTCTCAGCTTGTCATCAACACACGGGATGGAATCAATTTTGTTCCTCCCTTAGCACCAACACACTGGATTGAATTCCTCTCTTATCTTTCTTACTTCCCCACTAGTCACTTTATCTCTCTTTATCCAAAACATCTCTCTGAGACCCATTGAATTCCTCCGTCGCCTTATCACCAACACGCTGGATGAAACGAGTTTTCTTCTTGGGCATAGTCAAGTAACTGCAATAGGATTCCCTGATTCATTCTTGTCCTGATCCACAAGGGCCTATGGAATTTTCGGAATCTACAAAAAAAAAAAAAAAACTATAGGGCTCGTACTTCTCAAAGATCACAAGGTGCTGAATGGAGTGGCAGGAGAGGGGGGTTCCTTAGGTTTGTTTTTGTGAAAGGGATTCTCTTCTCATGTTATTGCTGGGATCAACCGATTCTTTCTTTGTAACGAAAGAACTCCCCAGCTAGAAATAGATCGAGCTATTTCTTTTTTCTTTATAGTGGAGGAGGGAGCCATTCCATTTAGGGCGAGACAGAATGGGCGGGCACGAGCGGCGGTTCAGATGATGACTATTGACGGCCACCATTTATTTTGTCATTTAGAAGGCGCACTTTCCTTTGTCCTCTTGGAACCAACTACTACTTCATTGGCTTTACACCTATCTTACTCCTAAAGTTATGGGGGAGATCTTTTTAACATTCCAATGACAAAAAAGTTTGGGACTCATTGCAAGAGACTTATTCTCAAGTCCCAGAAGTCGAAGTTATGCAACTTCTTCTGGAGGCTCAACAGTTAAAGAAAAGAAGCTCGAGTGCTGATTACTTCAATAATTTAAGTCATTACATGATCAGATTTCTGCTATAAAAAAACCACTAAATGAAGCTGAGAATTATCTGAGGAAGATACTGTTGCGCAAGAACCCAAACCCGATTAACTCATCACTAACTACTTCTTAGTTGGCTTTACACCTATCTCCCTCATAAAGTTGTGGGGGGGATTTTTTAACTTTCCACTGACAAAGAAGTGTGAGACTCATTGCAGGAGACTTATTCTCAATTCCTAGAAGTCATAGTTATGCAACCTTTTCCAGCAGTTCAGCAGTTAAACAAAGGAAGTCTAAGTTTCAATGATTACTTTAACAATCAAGTTGTTACGTGATCAGCTTTCTGCTTTACAGAAACCACTCAACATGAGAAGGTGCTCTATATTCTGGCTGGCCTTGGAGAAGAATGTAAGATATTACCACATCTATAACTACTGGAAAGCCATCGTCTACCTTTGCAAACTTTGCCCCTTTTGCTTCAACATGAAGCAGTGTTTAGCCTTGACCAAAGGTTCCCGGTTCCTACGTCAGATGTTTTACATTTTTCATCTCATAGTAGTCTCCAAGGTCAAGGTTAGAATCACGGCGACAGTCGTGAAGGAAATTTCATCATAAATAAGGCGACTGTTATGGGCGGCAACAATCTCCTATCAAAAGCATTCTGCTCGTCCCTCCAAAGAAATTTATAATATGTCAAATATGTGGCAAACAAAGGTTTGTTGTGCACAATTGCCATTGACATTGTACATGCCTTCCTCAGCATCATGCACGTTTTCATGATATGTCAGCTTTATACATGGGATCTACTTCTGATTCCTTACGTTATCCACATAATGGAGCAACAAATCATACAGCCACAGATCCAGGTATTTTCGTGGACTTGATGTCTTGTACAGAGGTTATCACAATGCATGGATCTTCTCATAATATTTCACATTGGTGAATTCCCTACTTCAAGAAGTTAACCAATTCCTAATGTTTCTTAGTTCCTAAGGTCCCAAGTCACATCTCATTATAGTTGCTACTTTATTTTCACACCTGATTTGGATCTCAAGGTGAAGAAAGTGATTGCTAAGAGAAAGCATGGTAGGCTACATGCATTGGATCGCACATAGCTACATTCCATATTGGCTATGGGGAAGACCAAGGAACAGATGCCGAAAGTTTCCGCTTCTATTTGGCATCAAAGATTGGGCCATTTAATTTTTTCCTCTATAAATAAGTTGGTCTCTAAAAAGGTTTTGCATTCACTTTCTACTTTCTAGTAAGTTCTATGAACATTGTCATGGATGTTGAAAAGGAAAGCGTACTGCTTCCTGATAATGCTGAAATATGTTTTCATTGGATCGTATTCATACTCATGTATGGGGACCAGCTCCTGTACCCTCTAAGCTGGCACAAGATTTTATGTTGTATTTATTGATGATTATGGCTGCTTGGTAAGGATCTTTTATTATCATCATTAATTGGTAACGGCTATGCTTGGTACTGATCTCTTTTCTTAAATATTAGCCGACTCCAAATAGTTGGGAAAAAGTTATGATGAAGATGATGATGATTAGTCTGAAATGCTTAATGCTTTTAGCATCTTGATAAAGTTGAAGAATTTGAGAACCCATTAAGAAATTTTGAAGTGGCGGTGGTGAATTTATTTTAAACAATTGCATACATATCTATAGGACAATGGGATTTAAGGCTAGTTCTCGTGCCCCACTACTCCACAAGAGAATGGCATTGCGGAACATAGGCACCATCACATCACTGAAACTGCCATCGCCATTATGTTCACAAGTTCATGAGTTTGGATTCTTTGAAAAGAGGCAGTTGAGATAGCAGTATATCTCAACAACAAATACCCAACATCTCTTCTGGGTGGTATTCTCCTTTTCAGCAGTATATAAAGCCGTTCCAGAGTGTACTCTATTTTGTGTCCCATTGGTTGTCTATGCTATGCCCACATTGCTCCATCATGTGCTCATAAATCCAACCGAAGGCCCAAGTTCAACTCAGTGGACTCCACTATTCCTCTGGCAGTTCTCGCCTTTTCCATCTAGACAACTTCATAACAGTACTGCTTCATGAATAGGTCCAGGGGCTCCATCATCTCCTGCTCCATCTCCAGCACCTTTGTCAATAGTTGATATGAGAAGCCTCACTTGAGAAGATTCTTCTCTGCACAACCTGGTGTAAGTGAAGTATCATCCCCTTCTGTACCTACAAAAAATGCTCCCATCCTTCATTGATATAACAACCAAAATACCATAATTCTTTCATCTTAGAATACATATCTTGTGAGAAACTTCTGGTGGAGGATCTTGTACTACTTGGTGATATTGTCTAGGACACTGTCCCTACTTCCTTCTCTAAAGAAAGACAAGATCCACAGTGGCAAGCCCCTATGGAACAAGAATATCGGGCACATCCCAAAAATAAAACACCTATGCTTTTTCCAGCCACTGTTGATAACCATCTTGTTGGTTGTCAAGGGATTTACACTATAAAGCAAAAAGCAAATGGAACTATATTGAGATATCTAGTCCTATAGTGAAAATGATCTAGCTTGCATGGCAAAGTGAGCTTTTATCCAAATGGATGTTTCTAATGCATTTCATCATGGGGACTAGCAATAAGAATTTTATTTGACACAAGGCCCTGGGTTTCAGAAAAAAAAAACAACCATCAGTATGCTGCAGGTTATCCAAAGCCTTGAATGGTCTTAAAAAAGCAACGTACTTAGTATGAAGGCTGCCAGTGCATTATATTACTATTTCTGTATGTTGATAATATGCTGACTACTGGCGGTGATATAGATGAGATGTCTAGCATCAAAGGTAGCTTCAGCAAAACCTTTCAGATGAAAGACTTGGGATACCTTTAATTTATCTTAGTCCTGGGAATTTCTCACTCCCTCAGGAATGCTTGTTACACTCTACAGCATGCTATGGACATCTCCTCAGAAATGGTTATCACATGCTACACACATGCCATGGATATCCTAAAGAGGTCTAACATGGTGGATTGCAAACTGATTCCCACACCATTTGTATTTGACAAGAAACTCTCTGTACAAGACACTATTCCTCTTCTGTTCCCACTGTTTATTGTCAACTGGCACAGAGGTCACAATACCTCACTTTCACGAGACCAAATATTGCATTCACGGTCAATCAGATATGCCAGTTCAAGAACCATTCGATTGCATAGCCACTAACAAGCATCTAAATGAGATCTCCCCTATCTTAAAGGGACACTGTATCATCGTTTATATTATTCCTCTGGGTCCCCACTTGCCCTTGGAGTACATATGCTGATTCAGAATTTGATGGCTCTCCTAGTAGACGATCTAAATGTTGCGATTGTGTTTATTTGGGACCAATCTTATCTCATGTATCAGCAAGAAACAATGGACAGTTGCTAGGACTAGTGCTGAAGCACAGTATAGAACCGTGGCTAACACCGCTATCCAGATTACTTGGAAGACATCTGCTTTGAAATATTGATGTTCACAGAGCCAATCTGTTCCCCTCTGCTGAGACAACAGAAGTGTAATCTCTTTACTAACTAAACCAGTCTTTCATGCTTTAACAAACATATGAGTTGGACTATTTAATTTAAGAAGCATAATCAAAAGAAGTAGTGCCAAAAAATTTTCCTTCAAAACTTCAAGTAGAGGATATATTCACAAACTCCTAGGTCAGGATCACATTCTTTTATACCATCCAAGCTCTCTCAGCATGGACCAGCATATTGGCTTGTGGGAGACTAAAAGAGACACGAAGCAACAAACATGTATCAGTGTAAAACCAAGTTTATAGGGAAGTACATCAATATCGAGTGTATCATATCTAACTTGTATCCAATCCAGATTGTATCATATCTAAACTGTATAGAAAATGTAAGAGTAAATCTGTTTGTATGATGTGTTATAGACATGAGAATTCACCCCTAAGGAAGGCATGAACTTCACTTCATTGACTAAAATCTTTCTAATAGAAATTCAAACCCTTATTAGGCAAAGCCTGAAGCTTCTCTCAGACAAATACAAAGAAAACCTTAAATCCGTGGTGCACTTATAGAGCAAGAAACCAAAGGAACCTTCAATGGAGTGAGCAGATAGAGGGTTTTAGTCCTAGATACATGGAGGAGAGAGCTATGCAACCACTGAGAAGAGCAACCTTCAACTAAACCCTTACCCCATCTAAAGGGTTATATACTGAAATCGTTTGGGAAGTTGCATAATTAACAACATTAGGCACACAGCTGGACACACTAATGGTCATATCAAAAGAATAGCCCCACTTACCTGTATGGGCAATCCTGACAATCGTACTCATTTTTTTGAAAAGGAAAACCTTGTTTTCTATTTGTAGTATCTAGGGCTTGGAAGGTTAATTAGTCTCTTTGAAGCCTTCAAATTTTAGCCCCTCCATGACATTGGATTGGATGACTAGTTGATCACTGCCATTCCCATAGCTCAATTAAGAGATCTACATATTGGATTGTGGAGATCCCCCACCTTTTGATCCACTAAGAACAGCAAGAAAACTACTAATCCAAAGTGGGTTGTCAACTTACAAAACCATGTGGATAAATAACCACGACATCATGATCTCTAAAGCGTAGTTCAGACCTGGCTGGAGACTTGGCCTAGTCCTATGCCAAGTGTCCCAGCCAAATTTAAAATGGCTTAACAAGTCATTTTCAAAAATAAAAAGAAGATAGATAAGTATCAGGCTAGTATAAGTTGAATAAAACTCAGGTGAGTTCTGATCCAAGCCCACTCAAGCGATTCCAGCACCTAACTTGCAGAGATTTTGTAGCGTGCTCTTAAGAAGAGGATAAGAAAAATGGCGCACCTTAATTTACATAGCAGTTTATATCATTGTGATTTGCAAACATACAATACCATTCACTTTGGTGCATGTACCATCAGAGGTCCAATGTCAACAATGGATGGACTGAAGTCACTTGGTCCTTCACTTGACAATGACAGCCAGATGCTAAAAGTACCAAACTGAAAAGTATGGTACATGCATCATGATATATTTTACATATAATGGTGGAATTCTGTTCATTTCATTAGAAAGCAAAGCAATACCAGACAAATTATAATTTACAATAAGGATTTCTTTTACACATGTTGTACAAAATTGTGGATTGCAATAGCAGATTTTTGAGAGAGAGAGGGGGGGGCGAAGAGAGAGAGAGAGAGAGAGAGAGAGAGAGAGAGTAGT